CGACGACAACATATCCTGCACAGTTCGTGTTTTTTTGCTGGCACTGCTTGACAGACTGTCTTCTACTTCACTGATCTGCTTTTTGTAGTACACTGGAATTTCAATTTCATAGTTGTCCTCTGTGTCCTGCTGTTCACTATCACTGTCATCAGAACTAGATAAATGTAGTGAGGTACTTTCTGTCATCCGCTCCTGCTCTCGCTCTTTTCTCTCTTCTTCTTTGCATTTACGTTGTTCTGTGCGCTCTTCTTTCTTGGTCAGGTCTTTATCAATGCCACTCATTTGCATTCGTCGACTGCCCCTCTGGTCTTCAAGAAATTCTATATCTTCCTGAATTCGGATGAGCTGCATGGCGTGTTGGTGAGCAATATCAAACAGCATGTGCTCCTTTTCTTCAAATTCCTTCTCTCGTGCTCGTTGTGCTTCACTTTGTCTGTTTTTGTTCTTTTTTATTAGCTTGTAGTCATCAACTACCGACTTTACTTTTTCTACAACATGAGTATGGTAGGTTGTTGGTATTCTAGCCTTGTTCCACATGTCCATGACCTTATCTGACGACAGTTTTGCACTTTCAGGTACAGTTTTCTTTTCTACTTGATGATAACAAAAAAACATTCTCAGGACATCACCTGTTGTAGGCAATACATTTACTGGAAGTTCACTTTGTAACTGTCCAATCAGCCATATGTTAGTCATGCTGCGTGTTGTAAGAGCACCACAGTTTGAATTAGAAGCCATTTTATACGTAGTTAAATATGTACAGTATCGGTATTTCAAAATCACCTCAAATTACTAGTAAATCGACACAGTTAAATTATGCAGATATTTATCCTATTTTACTTTTTGCTGACAACAAATAAGGTGACCATAGAATATTTAATAATAATAATGCATTTTAAAATATCTAAAATCTATGTTTTGAATTAAGTAAGTAACCAACTTTTGATACTTTTCCAGTTATATTTGTATTTGGTTTCGAAATAATGAATTATCACATTTTTATATAATTTTGAGATGCATGAGCAGCCTCTAAATTTAATTTGATTTGTCTTATTTTTGGTTTGTAAGTTTTTAGGACCCAATGGAAACTTTTCAGAGGGTGTGCACTCAAATCAGACAAAAAATTTTTTTCCCCATTCAAATGTGAACCACCCTAATATATATATATGAGTCGACTTGTATGTACAAGTACGTGAGTTTATAAAGGGTGAGAATTTCCGACTTGCGAGTTCCGTGTAAAATAATGGAAAGTGTAATTCGGGAAAGTGTAGAAGATCATGTTTTAAGGAATAACATTATAGTAAGACAACAACAGGGTTTTGTTAAGGGTAAATCATGCACAAAAAATCTACTTGAAACTCTTGATTTTATTTCCTATAATTTGGACAATTCTATTTCAGTGGATGTAGTGATGTAGTCCTGCTTGATTTTTGCCAAAGTATTTGATATTGATAATAAAATTTTTGTCAAAGTATTTGATATTGATAATAAGATTATTAGCTAAATAAAATGCTTATGGAGTAAATGAATTGGTGTATAAATGTATTGAATCGTTTCTTAAAAACAGAAGACAAAGGCGAAACTATTTCTGACTGGGTAGAAATTTTTAGTGGTGTTCCTCAGGGCTCTGTTATTAGTCCTTTACTCTTTATTCTCTACACCAACGACTTACTAACTAATCTGAAAAATACAACAAAACTGTATGCAAATGATACCATATCGTGAGAGCAATATCGTCAGATAACGTGTAGTCGAACTTCAATTTGATTTGAATGAGGCTCGGATCAGGTAATAAAAAATGTCCACTGTATATAAATGGAATACTCCTTGCTGAATCTTGTTAAGTTTTATGTTTTATATTAAAACATTATGATTTATAGTATACATTTATTTTCTTTGGACCAAATGTTTTTTGCTTTGTATGTAACTTCACTTTTCCTTTTCTGTTGATCCGGTGGATAATAAACAAGTCGAGAACGTTGCAAAGTTTATTTCTTGTCTATTAATGTCTTTCAATATTGTATCAATTAATTAAGCGATCTACGTAATAAGAAATTTAACAGGTTATGGGACCCAGATAACGTTTTTCTTAATTAATTGATTTGACGAAGAAAATTTAGAATAAAGAAATATCGGAAGATTCCTTTGTGAAGACTGAAGTGAAGAGAAAGCACGTGCTTCTTCATTCCCTGAAAATCGATATTTTGCTTCTAATTAAAAGGTCAAATTGAAAAGACAAGGAAGAAATGGATTCAAAGCTTCAAATAAAGCAGTTAAGTTGCGCAGCCGATTGGCCCATTTGGAAACGTCGTGTTCGAGATTTCATGGACTACCATGAGGGCGCACTTGATGTGATTGATGGGAAGT